ACGGACAAGATTGCAAAATTATGTTTTTCCGTATCAGTGAGATGTAAAACGTCGAGATTTGCAAAAATCTCTATTTTTTTTTGCACGATTACAAGACTTTCTCTATAGGCCTACTTCATATATACGAGAAAGTAAAAACTAGGGGCAGACACTACGAAGATTTCAGTTAAATAAAAACAACAAGAAAATCCGAAATAGCTTCAGACATATGTGTGGGTTTTTTTTGCCAGCAACAATGACAGCAAACGATAAATATTTTAAAAAGTAAGGTCATCTTGTGGATCAAAATACGTCATAGTATAATAACATTGACATAATAAAACCGAATCATACACTTATACAATTGCTAAAATATGTGTTGCTTTATATTTTTGTTTGAAGGCTACGTTTGAGGGTGTCCGGTAAAAAAAACCCTGGACAAAATACCCTGGTCATAAACCCCCCGACATAAACCCCCTGGACCAACCCCCCCCCCCACCGACATAAACCTCCTGGACCAAATCCCCCCCCCCCCCCCGACATAAACCCCCTGGACCAAAACCCCCGCGACATAAACCCCCTGGACAAAAAAACCCCGCGATATAAACTCCCTGGACAAAAAAACCCCACGACATAAACCCCCCGGATAATAACCCCCGGACTGAGGTTTATATAAAGAAATAATAACGATGATGTGAACCAAAAAATTAAAAAAATTACATTAAATTACTACGATTACTGAAGATGCCAAGGCCAAGCTGCCCTCGGTTCCACACATACGGCGTAACATCAGGCGTCAACATCAAACGCTAAAACACCCACTGTCGGAGACAACCTATGTTTCCACTTGATATGTGGAGTATGCACACTCGTGCTGAAGACCGTATGCCAAAAACAAACAACTTATTTGAAGGCTGGCACAGATGTTTCTAGTCGAATATGGGATGTTGCCACCCAAATATTTGGAAATTTATTTACTTTATTAAGATGGAATAATCGCTCCAAGAGGTTTATTGTACACAGATTAATTCAGGTCACTGTTTACCAAAACAGAAAAAAAAATATACTGATAGCAGCTCTCGAATTTTAACTGTTGATAACATTTTTAATGAGTCCACCATTATTGAGTATTTGCGAGGCATCTCTCACAGTCTGTGTTTTTAAAGTTATAATAAAAATAAACTTTTTTTTCTAATGTTTGTTTTGTATTTATATACTAATTTAGTTTCCCATCATCTTTGGTTTTTCCTTATATAAACCTCATTTGGGGGTTTTTGTCCAGGGGGTTTATATCGCGGGGGGGTTTTTGTCCAGGAGGTTTATGTCGGGGGGTTTATGTCCAGGGGGTTTATGTCCAAGGGGGTTTTGACCGGGAGCCATGTTCATTAGGTGCGCAAAACTTTTGTATAGCGGTAGGTTGTTCGCATCCAACAAAGATAGAAATGGGAGGGCACTAACTCAATGATGTTAACCACACCTCGCAACTATAGGTACCTAACTGATATGAAACACATTTGGCTTCAACGCAGCCTTAAAGTATTTTTCTTGGTGGAAAAATGGCTAATTTTACCATAAAAGTAAACAAATTTCGCTGTACACACTACTTTGACACAGACTTTCAAAAATAAATACTGCTTTTAGGGTTATAACAAGTCATTTTTAGATTCAACGTTGAATATTCAGTATAAATCAAGTAAAAGTGAGAAATCCATGATTTGGTGTTTACGAAGAAAAGTACTCCCGCCATATCCTTAAGTATAATCATGTACAGTAGGTATAAAACTACAATGAGAAACGTGGGACGCAATGACATACATTTAAACAATGTTGGAAATTTTTATGTTCTGAAGTTGACAACTTTCTAGTCGTAGAATTGTGTTCAAGCTCATCCTTAATAACTATAATGAAAGCATGCATGTAAGAATTTTGATTGTAATGAAGACACACTCTCATCCCAACAACTATGATAAAATAAAATATATAAAATATATTTTGTAGTTAAACACGCAAAAAAAAAAAAATTCTGATCTACTTAAACCAAAGATCTGCACCACGGGGCAAATTCAGCTCACTTTATAGAAACTTCTGACTGAGAGAATAGCTTAGTTCAGTCGCATGTCAATCTTACATGTCGTGGTTCAGGCCTACACGCTATAACAATATGGCAATCATGAAACCGCAGTTTTGCAGTGGGAGGATTAAACTTCTTGAACCAATACCTTACCCGAATACCTTTACACTATGAGGATGTTGTAACTGCATATGCGCCAAGTACATTCCCTGGCTCCTTAAAACTAACAGGCACCATCTTGTTCATAGGATAACACAGTGTGCCAAATAGCACCCTGTTAATAATAATGCAGATTGCGTCATTCGCTAAAGAAACACAAATGAACAGGATTTATTTCTTTAGCATGTAAAAAATTATTTGACGTGTTTCAAACATCAGTGTGACTGATGCAACATGTTAGCATTACTAATGGTCGATTATTAGAAGCTCGATCTCAATTTCTGATTGTATTGTCTAAAAATAGATGCTAATTGCATCATTCGCAAAGTGACGAAACTGGTTTGTTACGGACAAAAAGAAACATCCCAGTTAATAATCTAACCTTGGATAATTTTTCTGATTTTAAAAATAAAGCGTATTACATGGCCCTCAGCAGCCCATGTGAGCCTTTGGTGGCCGAAACTGAAATTTTTGTTTGCAGCCAAATCGCACTCTACCTGGGCGCCGGCGGACACGCCTGGTTCAATTTAGTGAACGTTTGTAACGCCCCATCCTCTCTATTGTCTATTACACTGTTTAGACCGAACGTAGTCACCATAGCGCAGTAGCGTAGCGAGGGGGGGCGGGGGGACATATGTCCCCGGGCGCCGACCTTAGGGGGGGCGCCAAATTAAAAGTTTTAGGGGGGGTGCAAATAAAAAGTTCGAGGGGGGGGGGGTGCAAATCGAAAGTTTGAGGGGGGGGGGGTGCAAATGAAAAGTTCGAGGGGGGGGGGTGCAAATCGAAAGTTTGAGGGGGGGGGGGGGTGCAAATGAAAAGTTCGAAGGGGTGCAAATCGAAAATTTGCTCACGAGGGGCATCCACAAGCATTCATTTTTACTTTTTCGTGTACAGCGTACAGGTGAACTATTGTGAGCGTGCAAAACATTGCTATCGTGATTTTGATAAATCTCGACGTTTTACACCTCACTGAATCCGAAAAACACAGTTTTACAATGGTTTCTGACAGCATGTTTGTCTGAGACCGCGGTAACTTTATTTTTTAATTAACAAAATTGTATATAAAAGTATTCTATCAAAATTATAGGTTTCCTTTCATTGGTCATCCATAAATGACGTCAAGCTTTTAAAAAACTTTTTACCTCCCCCTTCCTCCCCACTGCCACACATCGTCACAAAAAGCCTTCCCGCTCCTAAAATGACTTCATACCTCAGCCTACAAATCCCCTTAAATAGTCAGTTAAGTTTTTCTTAAAACATTGATATTTTTCCAAAAACGTGTCTAAAATCTGTCTACATCGAGTATTTTAATCAATTTCTATCACAATTTATTAAAAGTTTTCTAAAACGCAAAAATATAGTATAGTAAAGTATTTTAACTTCGCAGTCACTTTATGGTCGTGCAAAAATTACATTACGTTGTCAGCCACATCATTCAGTTTAAAGCGATATTCATATATTTTTTTACATTCAATCAGTTTCTTTTGCATTACAACATTTCTTCTAACTAATAATGCAAGAATAGCTTTTGAAAAAAATGTAGAAACCAAGGTAAAATCACTTCAAGCAGATACTCACAGATTGTATGTAAAGTAATCTTAAAAATAATTTTACAAATTCAATGTAAAAGGACTTGAAGAGCCCAAATATTCACGAATCTCTTAACTAAAATACACCAGCTTGCAAAATCTAATCACTTAAGTTGTAAAATTGAACATGTGCTACGTATTGTTAACATACTAATTTATCCAGAATTCAATAAGGCGATTTCTTGCAGTTTGAAGCACAAGGTTTTCAATTATCACTAACAACATTAAATCAAGATTGTAATATGTTCAGGTCTTAGATTGACTATTAGTCTAATCAATTTGGGTTGAATAACTTCGATCAATGTGAGCATTATTCTCGCGGTTCAGCACAAATGGGGCTGTAATTTATCCATATCCACCAGGATATAGGTCATATCCACCAATTTATTTGTTATCTCTACCAAGATAATGGCCGTCTCCACCAAGATATTGGCCATCTTAAATACGATATAGGTCAACCCCACCAAGATTGTGCGATTTTCACCAAAATATAAGCCTACTCCTATTAAGTATTGGCCATCTCCACCGAGATATTGGCCATCTCCACCAAGATATTGGCCATCTCCAGCAAAATATTGTCATCTCAACCAAGATATTGGCCATCTCAACCAAGATATTGGCCATGTCTACCAAGATATTGACCATCGCCATAATGAAATGTGCCTTTTCCAGCAAGGTAATGGCCATCTCCACCAAGGTATTGGTCATCTCCACCAAGAGTATAGCCTTACTCCACCAATATACTGACAATCACCACAAAGAAAATGACAACCTTCACAATGATTTTGAACTCCTGTACGAAGGAATTGGCAATTTACAAGCCGTTTTTACCATCTATTAAATTATGTTTTAACACAATGCATCAATACATTTAGCCGGTTTGGATTATGTGTTTATATCTGTGTGCGTGATTGTGTGTGTCTTTGTGTTAGTATGTTTATGTGTGTGTGTCATGTAAGCGTCTATGTTGTGTTTGTTAGTATGTATGTTTATTTATGTTGGTACGTTTTCGTATTAGTGTGTATTTTATGCTTAAGTATTTGTTCTTTTAAATGTCTGTATCTCTGCTGTCAAACAGTTTGTTTGTATTGGTGTTTTCTTGAGTTTGTGTACGTATTTGTGTTTCTAACATGGATTAAAAAAGCTGATGACATGAGAAACAACTCTAAATTCGAGCAACTGCATCTTTGCAGATTGTTCTTGAATGGACAAAGGCTATGGAAGCACTTCCATAAAGAAAAGCAGGCTGATATTTGAGTCACAGGCCTACATGGTACGTAACAATTATAAACGCAATACTTAATCGTTGTGTATGAAATATCTTCGAACGTTAAAATTAAAAACGAAGCAGTAGAAAAAACAAAAAATAATGGATCTTCCTTAAGCCAAAGTTTATTTTGTTCAGGATTCAATGCGATCAAATGATAAGACGATGTTTATTAATATCTTGTATGTTAGTACTATTACTGCAGCTGGCACTCTTACAAACCCGGAAATGACGAGTTCAGAGCCGGGACTATAGAGCTTAAATCCAGGTCGTCACTTGACCAAACAATCGACTTCGTCCAAACCAGGTGGCCAGATACACATATTTCAATAAGGATACATATAAAAGCAGGCTTTTAGCAATGCATTACTTACTACACAGATATGTATGTGGCTGTCTGCTAATCATCGCAGATTTAAGCTACACTCGTTACTAGTATAATTTTACTCCCTAACACATAAGCTACAAATAAAGTTCTACGTCCTGCTAAATAAACTATACCTTTAGTTTTATGCCCTACTACGTAGACTACTACAGTAGTACTCAATTCACAGATCATGAGCGATTTGTTTAATCACTCATCTAAGTGATTTCAACTAAATTAGTAAATATTCATGTTAGGTATAATTTAATGTTGTAACTGATCCAAAATACTTTAAATCAAGAATAAAATTGCTTTTAATCAGATTTGCTTATCTTTCTTTACGGGATATACGCAACAGAAATTTACCAAAATCCTGATCTTCGTCAAAATGGGTTTCTTACATTGTCCATTTAATTTATACATTTAATATATCTAGCATTATTTTCAACAAAAGTCCGTATCTCTTGGTTCACCATGTATTGTTAAAGATACTAATCTCATAGCTTCGGAAAATAGATGACAGACGTGAGATTTTATATATAAGGTTACTAAGTATTTCGACGATAGAATAGAATTTAAAAAGTCTTAAATTGTAAAGTGGATTTTATGAATATCAAAAATGTGTGGACGTTAGCAGCTTACACAGCTAAAAAGCTGAGTAGATTGATTTATTGGCTTCATTTTCATTACATAGTATGTGTCATGAGGGACAAATATTTATTGTATATTCACAAATAGACAAACGAAATCGGAGTCAATGGCCTCAATGACTCATAATCATTTGACACGTATACTTAATTGTGTTCAGTGGCGTAGGCAGGGGGGGTTAGGGGGGGTCATAACCCCCCCCCCATAGACCCCTCGGTATATATAAAAAGTATGAGGGGGGGTGCAAATCGAAAGTTTGAGGGGGGGGGTGCAAATCGAAAGTTTGAGGGGGGGGTGCAAATCGAAAGTTTGAGGGGGGGGTGCAAATCGAAAGTTTGTCCCCGGGTAAAAATTGGAACCCCCCCCTTGAGACGATCCTGGCTACGCCACTGATTGTGTTAGAGGGAATACCGTACAACACTAACATTAATAACAAAGAAAAAGAAGAAGAATCAATCCTTTCAATTCTGCAACAGTCACGGAAGCCATACAACATTCTGTGACAAACTCCTCAGTTTTTTAACATACACTCCACTCACTCAACTCCAAAACTTACACCTAATCCACTCAACTCTAGCATTCACGCAATGCACTGAGCCTCTTAATTCCCTTTAACACTCAAACCACTAAACGCTATAGAATATTTACATAACCCACCTCACTCTTAACATCCACCAAGTAGATCCGGTTTTCACAGTCAAGTTGACAAAGTTGACGAATTCGATTAATGAACTTCAATCCAATGGAGACACTATTAAGATATCTATAGAATCGTGTCCATATAAACTTGCATAAAGTCTATCAAAGCGGAATTAGAGAATATGATGTACATTTTCGTCTATGGCTTGCATGTTTACCTTTAACACATCGACCTAGGTTTTTATTTTACATCATCTTCAGAAATAGATCTTGCTAATTTAAACACCAACCTACTCTGACCTTATTAAACCAGCTGTTTCCATATAACCTGTATAGGCATTCGTGTGCTGTGGCCAGAGGTCGAAATGTCCTACAAGCCTTTACCTCAAGCACATGCTGGAGACATTTAGATATCTACTAGCTGCCGCACTTATTATCAATACTCGGTTTTTCTGACGATGCGCAGAACAATAACACAGTGATTCCTTACTTATATAGGCTTTTTATTACACATTGTGAGTGCTCTATATTTTTGGGAGTCACTTTGTATTTACCGAGTAGACGCGTGTAGGTGTTTTGGTGGTTATAAGGCTTGTAAGTAGGTGACAACTTTTCGTTCTCGTGCTATGCAGCTAGAAGAGTGGAAGGGATGCGTGTGATAGGTGGGTTGGACGAGTTGGGTGGCATATAGAAAGAGGTCGTCATTGACCTATTTCCAGTCCACTAAGTTACATTTCCGCTAACTAATAATGCAAGAACAGATTTCAAAATCTAAAAATACCAGAATCATATTTGATGATGTTAATACCAAAGGTCACGATTAAATCGATAAGTTTCAATCAGAAGGTTCTTAGAGCAGCTGATGGAAATACAGTTTAACTCACTTCATTTATTCTTAAGATAAAGTTAGCAGAAAAAGGGCTAACCGGTGTAATGGTGTCATACCACAATAGTGTTTCTTCCATACTTTTTTCTCCGAGGGCTGAGGGCACTTGAAATTTTCGGCGGGGGTGGGGCGGACACTGTTAAAAGTATATATGTTCCTTTTCATGGGGGAAGGTCCACCTGGAAGAAATGCCTGGAAGAAACTCTGTACTCCAATAGTATTCTCACCAAATGAAGACATGCAGAGACGATTCCATGTATTTGAAAGATGGTTCCTGGTTTGAAAGCCTAAATGCCTGTATGTATGTTTTCATGTTGTCAGCCTACATGCATGTTTGTATTTTGTTCTGTGTTGATAGACTATATGCATGTTTGTATGGTTTACGTGTTGATAGACTGTATGGGTGTTTGTATGGTTTCTGTGTTTACAGCCTACAAGCGTGTTTGTATATTTTGTAAATATGTGCACATAATTACTTTATAAATCTCATATAAAAGGATTTGATGAGCCCAAAATATCATCTCATGCCTAAACTAAAATACATCAGCTAACGTAATCAAATCACCTAACTTGTACAGTTAAACATGTGCTACGTACTAACAGCATAATTGTGTTTGTCCAGATTTCAATAAGACGGTTTCACAAATCTAAATGGAGATCATAATGAGTTCAGGTCTTAGGTTTAGGATCAAACTACACAATTTGGGCTTGATTAATGCTATCAATGTGAGGTTTTAACCAGAGGCGTAGCTAGGGGGGGGGGCGGCCGCCCCGGGCGCCGACCCTATGGGGGCGCCAAAAGGGGTGGGAAAAATTTTTTAAAGCTCATTTTGTGCTGCAGTTTTGAATTATAAACCGTCTAAGTTAAGAAATGTAATGGCTACACGCCTTTACATACTGATATAACTTTTTTCTACCTTGATTTCTTAATGTAAAGCATATACTCTTAAGAAACAGTGACCGGCAAAACCGCTTTGAAGCTTTTCCTAGATGGGGGGGTGGGGCGCTTTTTCGAGACTTAAATCGGAAGAATTTACACTAGATTGTTGAGTCGATAAACGTTACCACTATTAAAAGAAACCAATTGTATTAAAACGTATTGTACGATTGTTGAACTGTAAAATACGTTAGTGACTTTTATCAAGATGGTGCAGGGGGGGGGGGCGCTTTTAGGCTAAATAAAATAGCAAAATTACACTGCATTCTGAGTAAACAACCTTTAGCTCTCAGAAAGAAACGAATTGTACTGTGCATTGTATAATTGTGTAACATTTAAAAAAAAAAAGTTAGTTACGTTAAAAACCGCTCTACAAACTTTGTCCAAGATGGTTGTGATGAGTGTGTGTGTGTGTGGGTGGGGGGGGGGGGGGGGGGTGGGGGCGCTTTTTTCGCTAACAAAAATCGCAAGTATTTGTACTGGATTTGTGAGTAGATAACTCTCGTAACACTTAGAAAAGAAACCAAGTGTATTAGCGCGTAATGTACAATTTCACTAGCCAGTTTTGTTAAAACAAAAAAAGACGCGACTAGTTCTTTGTAACATTCTTACGATTCTCTCAAATTCAACTTGAGAGATCATATACTTTTGATTGATTGCATTAAATCTTGCCTGGATCACTGAACTGTTTTAAAGAGAACTAAATATCACGGATTCTTGAATCCCTATCCGATCAGTACAATGGTATACGGTCGGAGCAGGTGGGCGGAAGACAATACAGTTGCCGAAACTTTAAGAGCTAAAAACATTTTTTTGTTTCGGTTTCCTAAGGAGTATAGGCGTAGGCAACACTTCGTCAACTCAAATGATTTTTATGAAGCTCGAACCCTAATAATCCAACCTCCCACACCTCTATTTCAAACGATTTCCTTCAGGACTTTTTGTCTCCTTCTCTTTTCCCGTGGACTTTACATCAGCATCTACTTAGTGATGTTATTTACTGATATTGTGCCACTAACCACCACTTTTTTCCATGCTCTTATTTCATTCTCCACTGTCTGTAATCTAGCTCCGAGACATACAGTAAAAGAGACCACATTTAGTTATAGATCCTGATTGAATTTTTTTGACTATGCATTTTAATTCCACATTTTCTTAGAGTGTTAAAACGCGTTTTATTGCTGCTGATTATAATCAGAACGTCATGGGCTATCATTAAATTGATTGTTACTGCTTCTTTAATCAATACAATTAGTTTTGCATTTGTTGTTGACGTTGTGCGTGCAGTGTTTCTTCCAGACTTTTTTCTCTGGGGGGGGGGGGGCACTTGAAATTTTCAGGGGGGGGGGGGGGGCGGTAGACTTTCTTCGGGGGAGGGGGGTCGGACACTGTTAAAAGTATATATTTTCTATATATATATATATATTATATATATTTCATTTCGTTCGGGGGGGGGGGGGGGAGGAGGGAGGGCGGTAAAAAAATGAGCTCATGCTCATGCTCATGCTTATGCTCATGCTCATGCTCAAGCT